TAATTCATTATATACCAGTTTGAATTCTATTAATGATGTAAATTAGATTTTGATAAATGTTTTGCTCATAATAGGACCTTTTTAAATTTATTAATCCCCCCGCCCCCCCTCGACACCACAATCACACAGTACATACTTTTTGGAATAGGCTAGATGGAACAGTTTTGTTAAAACATTGTTTGTTATGAATTAATTTAAAATTTGTTCTTGACATGTAAATTCTACATCACATCACGTTGCGTCACCCATTGTCATATTTTTAGATTAAGCTCCATTCGGTACACCTCGGCCGATTCCCACTTCATCTGATAAGGTGACGGAATCGACGGCACGAAGGTTTTCCGAATGGAATAGCTTTAGAAAATGCTGCAGTGTGGTGTGCATTGGATTAATTCATTTTGTGTTATAATTGGATTTATATTTCATGAAGTTGCGAGACCTATGGAGGTCGGTAAGTACAAGTTTAAGTATAGTGGGGGGTAAAATAAACCCAAACGATTAGGTTAAAGTTCAAAAAGGGTCAAAGATCATCGCATGCCACACTAGACGAATTTCATATTGTGAAGTTATCTCCCGTTGTCGATGTGACATTCAGTTACTGCCAATACTGGTGCGTATCCAGACTTTTTTTTCGGGAGTAGGGAGGGGGGTTCACATCTCAATCAAAAAATTCATGCCCAGAATTTCCTGACAAGCAGGAGAAAAAAAACTCATAAACTGAAAACAAATAAACAAAATAAAAACAATGATAGTGGGGTCAATGTTTTCTAAGTTAGGGGGAGGATGTCCAAAGTCATTTTTTATTTGCTTCAGTATATAGTCTTGTTTAAATAACAAAGCAAATTCCAGGGGGGGTCCAATCTCCCTACCCACTCCCTGTCCCTGAAATAACAATCTATTTTGTTATTCCAATTAAATAGTATATTTTTAATTATGTACATATATACATGTATTTTGTTTCTTGTGTTTATATTATGTCTGTCTATTTGTCTGCAGAAATTATAACCTTGCCCATAAGTTTTAAGTGGGATGGGCTATACAAATGGCTTCCACATTTTATAGGTTTATTTCTTGTGACAATTAAGACCTTTTATTTGGGTACCATTAATTTTTACCTCTGATCGCTTGACCTAGGATATACATTTTTTAAACTTGGCCTAAATTTTGATCAGTAGGTGCTAGGGCTTTCATGCTTAACATGTGTATTCATTGTGAACTGTCAACAGGTATAAATATGTTTGACCTTGACCCTAGAGTTTGAACCACTTAAAAAATTAACCTTGGCAATTAACTTTTGAACACGAAGTACTAGGGATTACTTATTTCACATGTGCATTCCTTGTGACAAGACTTTTTTCTGATACCAACAATTTGAACCCTTTGACCTTGACCTTTGAGTTTGACATATATTTGAGAAACTTCAACCTTCGCCATAGGCTTCCATACAGGGACATCAGTGGTTTCACAAACACATCTTGTCATCATTATTATTTGGTGGTGTCTCCATATGAGGGAAAAATTCCCGAGAGAGATGTATTCACAACAAACAAACAAGTTACTAAAGAAAATATAAAATATGAATATGTTGGTCATGCATATCTCTGCATGAAAAAAACAGCTTTTCAAATACAGCAACCATATTGTAACCCTTTCAAAACACTCATTTGAGCTTTTCTGGTTTCCTTATCATATAACGTCTGTCGTGACATGTCGTCCATCTGTTTGTCTGAAAACGTTTTACATTTTTAACTTCTCTAGAACCACTGGGCCAATTTTACCCATGCAATTCATATAGAAATATGTACATTTGTATGTCAGACTGTCCTTCTGTCTGAATAAAGTTAACCTTGGTCATCACGGTCATATCTACTGAATGAGAAAAGACAAGGCATTCATATTAAACTTATGTACTAGTATTTACCTGTGAGAATGGAATGGTTTTTTTTTTTACATATGACCTAGAAGTTTGACCTACTTGCAAAAAAATTAAATTGTTATAAATTCATCATTTTGAAAGAGAAAAGTTAGGGCATTCATATTATAATGCATGCATATTATTACCTGTGATAAGACCTTTCCAAATGAATCATGACTTTTACTCTGTGACCTTGACCTTGAAGCCTAACCTACTTTTCAAAAATGTTGCATTTGCTTATAACTTTTGATTGAGATGAGATATGACTCTCACATTTGACATGTACATTAATTACTCATAAAAATTCAAGGTGTTTCCCAGCATGTGATGCTTTTTTACCCTTTAACGTTGATGTTTTACATAATTTTCAAAATATTTAACTCTCCTAAAAGATGATTAAGCTTCTGAGTAACATTAAGGAGGACTTCAGGAAAGACAGGACTTTTTGCACAAAAAACGTCATTTTTCCACCCCCATTTGACCCCCCGGGGCAAAATCAAAATTACGAAACCATCTCCCAAAAGATGATTAGGCTACTGTGTAAAATGTAGGAGAATTTCAGGGAAGACGGGACTTTTTGCATGAAAACGTCATTTTTTGACCCCTATTTGACCCCCTGGGGCAAAATCAGAATTACAAAACCTTACTGCACATCTACATGACCCCACCAACCATCTCCCAAAAGGTGATTAGGCTGCTGAGTAAAATGTAAGAGGAGTTCAGGGAAGAGGGGGCTTTTTGCATAAAAAACATCATTTTTCGACCCCCATTTGACCCCCGGGGCAAAATCAGAATTCTGAAACCTTACTGCACATCTACAAGACACAACCAATCATCCCCCAAAAGGTGATTAGGCTGCTGAGTAAAATGTAGAAGGAGTTCAGGGAAGACGGGACTTTTTGCATAAAAAACTTCATTTTTCGACCCCCATTTGACCCCCCGGGGCAAAATCAAAATTCCGAAACCTTACTGCACATCTACATGACACAACCAATCATCCCCCAAAAGATGATTAGGCTGCTGAGTAAAATGTAAAAGGAGTTCAGGGAAGACGGGACTTTTTGCATAAAAAACGTCATTTTTCGACCCCCATTTGACCCCCCGGGGCAAAATCAAAATTCCGAAACCTTACTGCACATCTACATGACACCACCAATCATCCCCCAAAAGGTGATTAGGCTGCTGAGTAAAATGTAAAAGGAGTTCAGGGAAGACGGGACTTTTTGCATAAAAAACGTCATTTTTCGACCCCCATTTGACCCCCCGGGGCAAAATCAAAATTCCGAAACCTTACTGCACATCTACATGACACCACCAATCATCCCCCAAAAGGTGATTAGGCTGCTGAGTAAAATGTAAAAGGAGTTCAGGGAAGACGGGACTTTTTGCATAAAAAACGTCATTTTTCGACCCCCATTTGACCCCCCGGGGCAAAATCAAAATTCCGAAACCTTACTGCACATCTACATGACACCACCAATCATCCCCAAAAAGGTGATTAGGCTGCTGAGTAAAATGTAAAAGGAGTTCAGGGAAGACGGGACTTTTTGCATAAAAAACGTCATTTTTCGACCCCCATTTGACCCCCCGGGGCAAAATCAAAATTCCGAAACCTTACTGCACATCTACATGACACCACCAACCATCTCCAAAAAGATGATTAAGCTACTGTGTAAAATGTAAGAGGAGTTCAGGGAAGAAAAGTGTGACAGACGGACGGACGGACGGACGGACGGACGGACGGACATGAGTAACAACAATATACCCGAACTTTCTTTAGAAAGTGCAGGTATAATCAAAAGAGACCCCCCCCCTTACATCAAATGGCAAAACCCCTGAAACAACGGTCATGAAATTCACAAATTTGAATGAGGCATTATATCTTTATACTAGGTTAGTTTATTTAATAACCAGGAGCAGAGAAGACAATTTTGAAAGAATTGATGCATTTTCACTATATAATCAATAGAGCCCCGCCCTAACGCCAAAACTCCTGACCCTGGGGCCATAAAATTCACAATTTTGCAGGAGACACTCTTGATCATCATAACTATGTACTTTTTTTAGTTTATTTGATACCCAGGAGCAGAGAAGAAGATTTTCAAAGATTTAATGCATTTTCACTATTCTCTGTGTGTGGTATTATTAAATGACTGAATTTTCAATCTCTGGCCGGATTCCGCTCGTGTGTAGATTGTGTAAACTGTAGGGTAGCCTATAAAATGTGTAGCAAAAAACGAACCGGGTCGGAGATTTCTAAAATGAAAACCGGGTTCGTGTTGAAGTTCAGCATATCATTTTAAAGAGAATTTATATTTAATATATAAGTAATATCTGCGATGATCACATTAGTATATTTCAGTAATTTTCAAAACAAAAAAGTTTTCAGTTTAGAATATTCCGACCTGGCCCTGATTTTCCAAACCCATTTCAAACACACTTTGTTGCAGATGCAAATGTTAGAACAAAATATAGTTCAACAGGGATTTAATAATTTTTATTAATCAGGATTCGTATTCATATGATCTAATTAAGAAAAGAAAAGTTTTGTCTGCCATCGTAACTTCTCGGCAAAACAAAAGGCGTTTCTCCGTGCTTGCTATATGCGTTTAACAACTCCATTGTACGTGTGTAGACCAAGGCTAATGTTGGTCTTGCGGACACAGGTATGTGTACTGTTTTTTAGGAGGCTGGGTGACCGTAATTCTACGGACTCACAAAATGTACATCAGTTCCATAATTAGACAGTGCATTTTTTTTTTATTAAAGTCATTACAAACACTGTTAAATGTATTAAACCTAAAAGTCGAATATTTTTGGATATGGGGTAACCCATATCCATTCTTGTTATAATTCTACAGGAAAGAATAAAAAATTACAATTAACAGGGTTTTTTCAGTTTAAGTAAGAATAATAAACACAGATGCCTTGAAATATATATACGTGTAATTAGTATTAAGAATTGACAGCAAAAATGTGTAGAATCCAAACATGAGAATATACATAAAATTTAATGGTGAGTCCATTGATGTTTTTATGGCATCTGTTACGATTTCATAGGATGATTAATCAAAAATCAAGTAAATTACACTGTGTATTGAAACACTTTGACAAGTCCTTCATAGTATCCCACCCACAGTGTAGACTTGTACAGTGATAATCTGACTGGACGGTTCACTTCATTCTCCTGGAGTAAAAACTTCAGGAACTCCCCGTCAAGACTCAGCAGATACATCTGTCTGCTGTAATAGTCAGTAACAAGGATGTTACAGAGAGAGTCACACTCTACATCATTGGGATTAAAGTTCTTTGTCAGGTTCTGTCCACGGTAGACAGACCTCATACGACCAGAAGGTGACATAATCATAACATCACCCGTAGAGCCACCTGTAAGGTTCACAGCACATATATCTCTGTTACCGTTCTGTGTGACTCTGTATGGATATGTAAACAGTCTGGTCTGACCATCCTCCTGGTACTCATACTCATGGATGAGCTCACCTGTCACTGTGATGTGTCTCATTAGACGTCTGCTGTTTGATTCTAATTTGTAATCATCTGATTCCTCGTCTCTCAAAGTGACCAGTAGTCCACCGTCCACTGATTGACAGATTCCTAATGGTAACAGAGGATCTGTACCGACGACTGTTGAGACGGATCCTGGTGGTGACATACGGCTGATGGAAAAGTTTCCATAATCAGTGAAATAAATATCACCAGTATCAGTTACACACAGATCGATAGGTTCAATATTACATTTATTTTTTTCTCACCATTTTTATTTACTTGTTCAATGTAAGGTGACTTTATATCTCCTATGTAACACTGATCTTCACACAATGCCCTCAATACAGCTATTATTTCATCTCCATATTTAAATGAGTTTGTTTCAGTCAAACTGATATTGTTTAAATCCTGAGTTTTTCCTATCATATTCTTCATCACCTCATCACTGATTTCTCCTTTAACGTATCTCACTGAATAATTAAAGTTGTTGAAATAAACATCCTGACCAGTCAGCCTTTTGGACAGTTCCCTGTGGTTTTCTAGGAAACCGTAGTCAGACATGGTGCTGTTGTTATCCTCCATAAACTTTACCATCTCTTCTATTTCTTTCTTCCTTTTGTCTAACTTATATTTCACTTCATTCAACTTTTTATTTTTTTCCACCAAATTCTCTGTTAATCTTCGTTCATTATTTTTCCTGATTTCTGTCAACCTAGCCATTATCTCATCAACATGCTTCTGAAGTTTTTTAACCTCAGCATCACACAGTTCTTTATTTTCCGTGATCCTATTTGAAACTTTCTCCAGCTTTTCTTCAATCCAAGGCAGATTCTCTTCCTTGATCTTCTTCAGTAATTTAAGTAGACCTCTCCTCCTTTGGCTGGCTGCCGTGGATATAGTGCTCCATTCATGCTCCTTATGATCTGTTTTGGCACACTTACCACAAATAAATTCATCACAGTCCTCACATATAACATCAATAGGTAAATCGTGGGCTTTACACATTTCAATATGCTCTTGAGGAGAGCCCAGTGGATATTTTGGTTTACTGGCTGCCATGTTTGTTGAATGTCTCCTAACTATGACCTAGATTTGAAGCAACGATAAGGTAGCTATACACTGTGAAGTGATTTGGACTTTAAACCGAGATTTCTTAAGTTACATTATATGCACAGTCAACAAACAGGTATACCTAAACAAATCATAATATAAAGAGGCAGCTTTAGGCTAGGTGTATGAATGTGTCATTACATTAAATTTTGAAAATATATCTAGCATTATATACATTAGTTCTACGGTATGCAATTTTTTAAAGGAGTTAAAAGTTTTTTACACCTTTTTTGAATTCTTGGGAGACAATGCCAATAAACTTTGTGCTTACAAGTAAGACTCTTAGATTCAACAAAAAAAGAGGCCCAGGGGCCACATTGCTCACCTGAGAAACTGGCAAGATAAAACCAAAATTCATTTCAGCATTAAATGTTTGTTTAAAAGTGGGTTCAGTGAAGAGGTAAATGGGATATTTGAACAAAATTAAATCTATATTTCCTATGGATGATTTTAGATTAATATGATTCGTAATTCTTTGCTGTTTATAAGATGAAAATTTGATTGATATAGCCTTTATACTCCTTTGTTTAACTTAAATCCATTTTGATTTATTGCTCCTCCAGTCTTCTGGTTGGTCATGGTTTCAACAAATTTTAGATCGACATCACCTTTTTTATGCTTTTATATTGATAATCAATCATGGCTTTGTTGTTCTTGTAGAGAATTTTAACAATTTTCCTATGTATTCCTTGTAAAACCTTGATCACCCATAGTGAGTCCCTTTCTACCCCTGATGATCATGATTTGAACAAATTTGAATCGACACATGTACATTACCTGAGAATCTTCTTTTTCAAAAACTACATCCATTTGTCTTTAAATGTTACTGATTTATTTGCACAATTCTACATTTCTCCCAATAATTCAAGAACTGAGCAAGATATTAAAAATCTGAAATACGGTTTTGTGAACACACATTTGAGACGCATTCTGGCCAGTTTTCAGAGAAATTGGTCAATAAATAAGCGAGCTGAATCCTTTGAAATTATACCACCAACTGGCTGATCTTACTTTACAGTAGAGGGCAGAAACTCATTGCACAACAAAGTCCGCCAAAGCTAGAAATATATGACAACTTGGAGATTCAGCTTTGGATACCTGTCACTTATCCATATTTCCTATGCATATTCACAAGAATGGGAGGTTCTATTCTTTATTAAGGTGCTTTTAATGAAGTAAAATAGGTTCAGTTCTGAAAGACTTCCAAGCAAAATGGTAATAGCCAATCTCCACCTCCTATTTCATGGTCATGAATGACCTGTTAAATCTCCTTCCTTAATCGAGAGTCCCTGTAGTTTAATTACTGATAACCTCTGTTTGGCTAGTGAAGAATTCCCCAAGTGGTCACAGTGATTTATTGCTCCTTTCAGCAGCAGGCAGTTACAGACCAAAGCAGAAGCTTCAATAAGGGCACATTCACATGTGTTAGTGTTTATGTTTGATTATTGTTAAATATTAGAAAACCATTTAATAATCAGCAAGAATTTTCCATGCATTATAAAGCAGTGATTAGCATTTCTTCCAAATCTTGCTGTTTCATAATAAAACATTTTACAACAATGAAAACAAACTACAAAGCAGGTAACTACCTTTACTTTTCAGGGAATAAATTGCATTTTCTCCATAAATAAAACATGTAGAACACCTGATAAAACAACAAAGATTATTTTCATCAACTTATAATGCAGTTATCAAAATATAAATGCTATCAACAAATAAAAATGCTTTAAAAAGAAAAAAATCTTTTAAATTATTAAATTCCGATCAAATATACTCCATACTTTTTTCTTTCTTAAAATACTGACGTCTAATATACAAACATGCTACAATGACAATTTGGAAAAATGTTTTGGAAAGATGAAAACTACTGCCTTTTTACAATCAAATAAATTTATTCTATCATTTTAAGTCAAATATAATTATTACATAATTTTAATCAAGAATTAAAAGTATATTCAATCAAAACCTTATTCTAAATGACGGCATCAGCTCAGACTTCAAAACAAAAAAAAAATGACACCTAGCTCTTCTATAGTGTACGATCTAATTATTTTAAAAGTAACAATATCAAGTATTAATCAAAACCTTATACAAGAGAAATATTAATAAAACGAACTTTCAACACATAACTTCTGTATGAATTTCAAATTAAATACTTACCAAAACACTATTTCATCAAAATTAACCCCACCCTCCCTACCTGCCATCTGACAAAAAAATGATTTTAATTTTGCAGAATATGACAGAGGAATTCCACCACTGTTTAAAATTTTCTTCATTGGACCTAATATCTAAATGACCACAGTCTTAAGAAGATCCATTTTATTAATTTTGAACAGATATAATATCAATTAAACAGGAAAAACTGTAAGAGCTACCTCTTTACAATAAAATGGTAGACACTTGGATGTCTTCACTTTAAGAAATATGAGCGGCAACTCTCAAGTCGGAAACTTTTCTTTTCATATTGTAATTATAACCATATCAATGACAGGAAAAAGTACATATTTAGAGTTCTGCTGTTTATACTTGAGAGGGATGAAATCTTTCGTTGAATGAAAATTAACTGTATTTTGGTCTATTAGATCATAAAGGATTAAATCAAATACAGATTTATTATGAAAATAGTATTAGAATATTTTTGACTGGAAAATAAAATTCCCAAAAAATGCAGCTCATATTGCTTTAAAAAATCTCGGAGCTGCTTCTCTTAAATCTCGAAGACCTATCTGACATTTATATAATATTGTACCCAACATTTTTGAGCTCTCATTTCTCATCTTGCAAGTGTTATACTCCAAGACAAGATTTGTACATTTTTTCTTCACCCATAAACTTCAGAGTTACATAACACTTTGTGGAAAATATGTTAAATGGTTCAAATCACTCTGGAATGACCAGTTATGCTGGAATATTGATCATCTTTTCATGAAGTTAATATTTTTGCATGGCAAAACTTTGAAATGCAAAACTGGCACATTAAAATTTCTATACATTATTACATCCTAATATTCAAAAGACAGTAAGTGCATTGTACATGCAAAATCTGTTTTTTATGGATATACATGTACATGTATTACCAATTTGAAAGAAAAAAAACCCATTAATTATGAATATTGTACTCTACAATATTTAATTTACAAAAAAAAAAACAATCATTTAACATGAAAATGCTGGCAAAGACTTTAAATTTGGGCCCTTCTGCAATTGCTGACATTAAATACAATATTATATCACAAGCATGGATGTGCAACTTTGGGGAATCTGGCATATAGTTAAGCTGTTTTAAGTATATCATAAAGTCCATGTTCATAAATAAAACCAGAATAAAAAGCAGACAAATTTATATGAGTGGGAGGCACTGAAAGAGATTCACAGAGAGAATATTCTCTTTTTTTTTGGTCCACTTTAATTATTAGTTTAGACACAAAAGGTCAAATCCTTGAGAAATGTCCTATAACTTTGGAGCAAAATGGCTGAATTTTCCTTTGTTCTACGTTTAAAAAAATATAAGCTAGTTTCTCTTAAAATTTAAAAGGGCTTTAAACTATAAAAAAAAAATAAGGGATGCAGAGTGAAATGCACACTTAATCTATATTTTAAGATACAACACACATATTAAAATTCAATTGAGTATCTTTAAGTTCAGTGATACTCTGATAAGAGAGATAAACCTTTATGACATAAAATGTCTATTCCTTCATAGATTTGCTTAGTTGAAGTGTCTTTTTATCCAATTTTACCCCCACAAGCTATGCTATGATTGTTTGTATTTTACTTATAAGTTACATTTCTTTTGGAATATCATTAAAGTTCAAGTAACATTTTATATGAGTGAGCAGAGGGTTTATGAACCTTAAGCATTTGAAAAATAGTGCAAAAACCCAAGTGGAACGGAAAGACACAGTGACAGACAGACAAGTGAGGAAACTTGTTTCACTAGTTGGAGACTAGGAATAAATTATGGCCACAAAAAAAACCCAAAACTGAACCTTCATTAAATTAATAAGAACAAACAGGCTCTTCCAAAATTAAACATTTGATTATAACTGTCACTGAAAAATAGGTACTCAAGGACACACAAACCTTAAAAAAAAATCATTTCGAACACTTAAAGCAGCTATTTTTACCCCAGGAAATATCTTATTTGTTAAAATTACAGGTGTGGAACAAATGCATAGTATTAATTTAAATGCATATTACATTCAAGAAGATTTGCAAATTTACATACTAGTATTTCTTCGGAAGAGGTCAATTATTTAAGCAATATTAACAATTAAGTGACTTAATATAAACAATAGTGTATTTAATAAAGGGATTCTGTGTCCCCAACTTAGGGAAAAAAGAAAAGCATGCAAGAACTGAGAAAATACAGATGAAGAAAGAAAAAAGTTGCACCTTGACTTTTGGGTTCAAAGTCAACAAGGAAATTTGCTCAGATGCCCATGCAAAATCTTGCAGAGAATTGTAATCTGAAAACTATGCCCGCAATATATGAATTTCAGACTTTTTTGTAAAATTAAGAGGAAAATTTATTCACTGGGAGTTAAAACTTTATTTAATAAACTCAAAGAACAAATTTAAATCTGGAAACCTATCTGTTTTAATCAATGATAAAAAAAATTCTTAATTTCTTAGTTTTATTTGGGGACAGATACCAGCCCTGTAAAAATAATTTTTTTAATGTTGACCTTAGCAAATTATAATCCTTACATCACACACTGGGGCAAGAAACATGTGAAGACATTTGAAAACTGATCCTTTCAGTGAAGGGTACAGAAATACATTCAGATACACACATACACTTTGACCAATAAAGATAGCTGATGGCTTCAGATCATATTGTGAATATTGGGTATAAAAGCTTATCCTTAAACACAAGAACAAAATAATAAAATGGCACATTTTTTACAGAAAAAAGCTGTTGTCTTTTTTCCTGTGGCATTTGTATATAACATGATCAGTTTCACCGCACAGTGTACATTTTCTTTGCCCAGGAACCCACTTAGAAACACTAGTGCTTTCTGTAAATCCCTGGTCAGAAGTGTTGGCATTTGCAGGCCTCATGTACATTTCATCATCTGAGCTCTGGTCCGTTTCCCACAATCCATCATCCTCACCCTCCTCGTCGGAAAAATGGGAGGGTCGCGTGGGGCAGTCACCGCTACCGTCCTCACTGTCAAATTTACCGCCCAGTCCCCTCGTGTCAGCTTCTGTCTGTGATGGCGAGTCTCCATTTTGAGACACCTGACCTTTTCTAGCACTCTTTTGATTCGTTGAAATGACACTTGCTTGACTCTGTATGGCTTGCATATCACCGTTTTGGGAATATTTGGCACTTTTTTCGTCCTCACTGGCCAAAATCCAGTCGTCTGGAACGTCATCATCATTTCTGCTGCCTCTTTCTGAGGGCTGATCACCAGTTTCTACCTCAGCCATAGAGAACCAGTCCATTACTTTTTGTGGGAATTTCCCACCACTAGCACCACTCACTTTATTGCAATTCGCATTCTGATTTTGGAAGTGCAGTGGAGTTGCCCGCAGAGGATTGACTCTTCTCTGAGAGTTAACAGGATTGTCAGATTTCTCATCTCCAAAGTCTGATTTCAGCACGAGAGAAAATGAACTCGAGGGTGCAGCAAGCCCTTTTTGACATGCCTTCCCCAACCTCTGTCCAAAGATCTTTTTTCGCTGCCACTTGAACCACTTCTGAACCAACGGAAGGCCTAGGAGACTTTAAATTTGATCTCGTTAAGCTGCCTGTTGAATCCCACCAAGACACTGGTTCTGAGTCTCTAGATTTCTGCTCCTCTTTCAGAGTCTTTGTTTTCCTATTGCTAGAGTGAGACAATTACTTTCCTCCCGACTATCTCATTTGTTGAGTTTCCTTTTTGGAATTATTTTGGAACTCTGAGCTTTCATGTGGAATTGAATTTAGGCTCTGCCAAAGCACACAGTTGGCAACAGTTGGCCTTTTCTTTCCTCTTCTTATGTCTTTATTGTATGATTACTGGACAGAAAGTTTGATTTAGATCCAAACACCATATTGTCGGACCAGTTTGTAAAGTTCTGCGCAGGTTCCGACACTACAGGGGTCTTTTTAGGGCTTCGCAACTGATTCAAATTTTGCTTTCTGAGATTGTCTGAGAAATGAAGATTGTCTGATGTCCGGTGAACTCGGAAATGGTTTATCCTTTGCAGAGAAATACAAACCGCTGGTCAGCGACTCTGGAGTCTTTTGGACACTACTGCTACTTCCCTCTGGACTGCTCCAGTCTGGAAGTTTCGGACTGTCCAGCAACTGATTTGTCCAATCGGGCACTTTGGGACCTGACATTTTATTCCTTTTTTAAAACAAGAGGGTCCTAATTCACAGCAATCACAGAAGTCTTACAGCTGTATCTGACTGATCTAAAAATGTGGAGGTCATTATCATTCCCCTAAACAAGGTCAAAGGTCTTTCATCTTAGCATCTGACAGATAGACAAGAATAGAAATTACATGTTTTAAGGACACACTATGTCTTGTTAAGTTGGTTATGGGGACGGGGGGTTAATTTAAGGTCAAAATCATTCTATACTGCAAAATATTTCAGACAATTGAAACTCTTTTGTGTTCAGATTACTGAGAGTCCTTAATGTTGCTGAACAAGGTATTAAAAAAACTCCTCTACATACCTGGAAACATTGTCATAAAAAACCTTATTTCTACACTCTCTCTGAAGCCGAGCTTTGTGTTCAGGAAAGAGACGGCAAATAAAACGAGATCCCACAATGCACCACACAATATCGAATCATTCGATGTAAAGCTCGTGTAATCTGTCCTGTCCCAGCTGTTGAACCTGAAATAGAAGAAAAATATATAATTCGTGATATTTCTTGACAACTGTCAGTTTATTGAATCAAGACTATTAAAACGGTACGTGAAATCTTATCTAAAATTTTATCACTTACAAACAAGATACATGTATTTACTTCAAAATTTCAAGTTTCTGTCTTAGCAAAAACGGTTCTAATTTGATGATCAAAATAAAATTCAATATTAAAGTATATAAGAAAAATTTACGGAAGCCCATTTAGGACCTATCGAAAATATTTTTGAATTCGTTATAACGGTTTTTAGAATTCGTTATAACGAATTTAATTTGTTATAACAGATTTTTAGAATTCGTTATAACGAATTTAATTTGTTAAAACAGATTTATTGAATTCGTTATAACGAATTTAATTTGTTAAAACAGAGTTATTGAATTCGTTATTACGAATTTAATTTGTTATAACAGATTTATTGAATTCGTTATAATGAATTTAATTTGTTATAACGATTTTTAGAATTTGTTATAACGAATTTAATTTGTTATTACAGATTTATTGAATTCGTTATAACGAATTTAATCTTTTATTACAGATTTGTTGAATTCGTTATAACCAATTCAAGAATTTGGTTAAAACGAATTCAACAAATCTTTAATAACAGATTAAATTCGTTATAACGAATTCAATAAATCTGTAATAACACATTAAATTCGTTATAACGAATTCAATAAATCTGTAATAACAAATTAAATTCGTTATAACGAATTCAATGAATCTGTTATAACAAATTAAATTCATTATAACGAATTCAATAAATCTGTTTTAACAAATTAAATTCGTTATAACGAATTCTAAAAATCTGTTATAACAAATTAAATTCGTTATAACGAATTCTGAAAATCGTTATAACGAATTCAAAAATATTTTTTGATAGGTCCTAAATGGGCTTCCGTAAAAATTGAACTGATGGACACACAAGAATTTCTGCATATTCCTTCGAGTTAATGCTTAAAATTCTAGGATTTTTTTGAGTCAATATAAAGTTTGGTTTTTATTTGATAAATAAAAATCTTCTTACTGTTTGTTGAATATTATCCAACATATGCATTTTAATTTAAAAAAATTAACAATGTTTTGGGTTTTCAAGGTTTTGTAGCTGTTTATTATAAGTATTGTACTAAAATCCCGGGAAAAAATCCTTCTTTCTTTAGCGGATGTGATGCCTATATTTCCTCAAAATGACTGAATTTCATTGCTTATGCTGGAAATTCTCAAAATAAAGAAAAAAAAGAGCTGCAGATGCAAATGTACACTATATAACGACTTTTCAGGCTCATATGTTTCAATAGCATAAATAACAGTTTCTCCGGAATTCCAAGAGTTACTACACTACGCCAAGTTAGAGAATATTCGACCGCAGTATCTGAAAAAACATGCATTTAAAAATGCCCAAGAATATTGATTTCGCTCAGATTAAGACATAAATAAACCTAATGCATGGTAAAAATCGGGCTGCATTTGTTGTATATGGCGGACAAACACATTTTAATTAAATGGTCGGAAGGGGGATGTTTTAAGAGTTACTGGGTATTTCTTTCTTTCTCAGGTCTAAAAATAACATTTCACGTTTAAATGCAGCATCATTTTTTGTAAATTTACTATTTACCCAAATATATAAATTTTTTATGTTTTCATTAAACTTTAGAAGGTAACACATAACTCTTAAAACATCCCCCTACTTGTTATCAATCATTTTGAGGAAACATATAGACATCACATCCGGTGTAACGACGAAAAGTGACCCCCGTAGAATATTGACCGGGGGTCATTTTTCTACGTAGAAAAATGACCCACTTTTCTGTAGAAGTTATGGCTTTGGGGTCCATTTTCTCGATGTGCATTGTAGAAAAATGACCCCGTAGAATAATGACCTCTTGACATTTTTTTGATCCAAAAACATTCGTTTTGGTAGGAATATTTTTGTTAGGCGAATGTATAAGGGTAATATCAAGCAGCCTTGTGCTTTGAAGTGTTAATTTCTGAAAGCTTTTAAGCTTAAATAACGAAATCAAATTTTAAGCTATACAAAACCTTATATTAATAATACAAACCGTTTTATCCCCATTAAAGGAAAACAATATCTATTAAAATGTTCTAAGTCTATTACATGTAGAGCAAAGATACGCGCATTCATAGAATCGTTTCTTACATTTCTACAGTAAGTTTTCTTAGTTGTCAATTTTTAAAAAGGTCATTTTCTCGCTGGTATAAGAAATGTTTCCATATTTAATTAATTATAAATCTCTTTTACCCTGAATAAATAATTTGCAAAACTCAAAATAAAGTTTTATTTTTCAAAATTTAACGTATTTGATCCGTACTTTTAAAACGGTTGCGAAAAAGGGCGCTAGCGTAGAAAATTAAATCTTATAATGATATTTGGTTTTCTATTAATGAAGTTTCAAACTTCTCATAAAATATAGGGATGATTTAATTTGTAAAAATAAGTACGAAATTAAATCGCCTCTGACCTATGAAACAAAGGAAAATTTAATCTTATCATATTTGGTTTTCTATTAATGAAGTTTCAAACTTCTCATAAAAAATAGGGATGATTTAATTTGTAAAAATAAGTACGAAATTAAATTGTCTCTGACCTATGACACAAAGGAAAGAAAAAGTGGTTAGCTCAAAACCTGTAAAATGTCTTGTCGTTTGCGAGTGTCAACAAAACCTAAACAAAATGGGGGTTATAGCATTAAACATGATTAACAAAAAATAAAAGTGCTTGTCTTCCCCGTTTTCCCCGTCCTACATGTACTTACATGTGATGACTTTAGGAGTTTTTTTTACCAATAGTAAAAAAACAAGTGTTGGATTATGAAAAAGTTGTTACTTTACATATTATACTTTTAAAAAAAATCAATATTATACTTATGCCCCCGTTTAAACGAAGTTTCGGAGGTATATGGGTTTTTTTACCTGTCCATTCGCCTGTCTTTTTGTCTATTTCTCCGTAAAAACTTGAACCTTGCCCATAACTCTAAATCGGGACTATGGCTTTCATATTTTGTGTTTTTTTTTGTAACAAGACCCTTTTTGTTTGTTTACAACCAATTTTGACCTTTTGACCTTAAAGTTTTACACACTTTTACACAAAAATTTCAAACTTTTACTTTGGCATTAACTTTTGGGCTGAGGGTTTAGATATCGAAGTAATGGCATGATAGACTAAGAGTTCATTTGTATTTGCAAAGTTAGTGTCTTAAATCTCAGAAGAAAGGGGATTTACAGCAACCATTTGTCAGGTGTCTGTGGGCTAAAAAGTGTTGGAAAGAAATTTTGTTGTTGTTGAATTTATAGAAATCTCAGACTCTGAAGGTTGAACTATTATTCACTCAGATGTAAATATTTTTGCCAGTTTTGGAGTTGTTTTTTTTCAATATCATAAGAACGTTCTTGATGTGTATGGTATTTCCCCCATATTCAGGAAGAAGTATACTGCCTTATAGGACCTTGTATAAGGTAGTTAAAAAGTATGTATTTGAAACCAGAATGCATACAGATGTATATGTAAATTTAAAAGTAAAAGCTAGGGGAATGGAATTCATATAGTAAATTTACGTTGCTTTTCTTGCTTCTAGACTATGTCTTTGGATTTGTAAAATTTTTCAAAGTTTATGGTATCAGAAACTTATCATACGATTTTCGGAACAAAACCTTTCAATGATAAAAAAACACCCAAAAATCTAAACATAAATTTATACTCCTCAATGAAGAAAAATATAAAGACCTTGAACAGTATTTAATATCAAAGTCCATAAACCAATACAAAATAGGAGCAGACCAAACACACCTCCTAAACATCAGAGGCGGGATCAGGTGCCATGGAGGAGTGAGCATCCCCTGCCGACCGGTCACATCCCACGTGCACTCCCTGTCATGATCGGGAAATAACGGAAAAATCTGTCGTCAATTCAGTGCATAAATAATGGACTAACAATTAATATGAAAAACGTCAGTCAGTAATTCACTCAATGAAAAATTGGATTTGCTGACAAGGTCATTGTATCAACCATAGAACTTACGAAATGATGACTTTAAACGAGACTGCTGATATTCTTGTTTCATGAACTTGCTTGTCAATAATTTACCTCGTTTTATAAATTGTTCATACGTAGAACATGCTCTTGCGTTTCGAATCAACTGATATTTATAAACTCCGTATGCAGGTGATGAAGGTGTATATTGCTGCATAAGTAAGGTCAACCTGATGATAGAAAAGTTAAAGTCATCAAATTTATCATATAGCTTGGTAGTTAAGTTACCATTAATTAACGTCTTTTTCAAGTAAAATATCCAAGTATGAAACAGAGGTGTCAGACCCTGTAGTATCTTTTATCTTAAACTCACCAGGATATATCGTATCGACGTAGGAATGGAAATTGCCATAGTTAATCGACAATACGTCGTCGGTATTATCTAAATGTTAAGTTGATGGCCACAGCAAGTGTTTTCTTCT